CACGTGCTGGAAAAAAGTATTTCGAGCCCTGCTCCATGTTATTACGACTCCATTAATTCACCGACGGACGCAGTAAATCACGGGAGGAAAAAGTGATGGAATGCGCAGCATCAAAGTCGGGTGCGTTTGACAGTTCCCAGATGCCGCGCCTCCGGTTATGCACACGTATAACCGACACCGTATTTTCTCCCTCCGGCCAGTCATAATGCACCACCCCCGCCACAACAAGTGGTACAATCCCGGGGGACATCCGCGAAGTTCTGTTTTATCTCAGCAGGTATTCATAACATTCCTGTACAGAGGCCGCTGATCGAGGCTTAATGGTTTATGTACTTCTATGCATAAATCTGACAGTTGGGTGTAGGTCTGCTCTAAAACAAGCCGGAATTCGTGCCAATCTGACCATGCTATCTCCATGCAGTTATTCCGAGTCAAAGGTCTCTAATAAAATGACCTTGAACTTTCAGAACAACTGCGAGGAGGCTTCTGTCACTTCTTTGTAAGCCTATGAGCTATCTACCATTTTAATTTGGTGACCATACCATCTTCTGATCAAGGGATACAAAAAGACTTGCAATACAGACACTGTCCTAGACACAGTGGATTCACCGGGCTACAGCCTCAATCAGGCTACAGGATTAAACTTTTTCCATTTTATTAATAGACCCATTCGACTTTCACGGATCGCATAAACTGCAGACGTCACAGGGGGGACATTTTGAATAGAAACTACGTCACAGGGGGGACATTCGAAAGTTCCTTTCACGGATCGCATAAACTGCATACGTCATAGAACAAAATAACATTAAATTGTTGTACGGATTGCCACCATACAATGTTGGTGCCTGTTTTCCTGTCATTTCCGCATATATTACCGAGAAAAAAAGACACTTACCTACCTTTTAGTAAAAAAAATGATCTGACAGGGGGGACATGGCGAGCGCAAGCCGCTCAACGTCAGCGTTCTAGAACGACGTTCTTTCGAAATGTCCCCCCTGTGATGTAAGCAGTTTATGCGGTCCGTGAAAGTCGAATGGGTCTATTTACCCACATAAATGAAGGGACGAGTTGTTCCACTGACTTAACAATATTACTAGATCGTCTGTCCATCACCGAACTAGTTTCAAGGTTATGAAGAGCAATTTATAGAAGGACAAAAGCAGAATCCTTCTCATAACATTACCTTTTAGTTATAGTTCACTCGACTGTACATGTACCAGTAGATAGCCTGCAAACAATTCACAGAATTGACCTAAGCTGTAGCAAGCTATTCTCCACCAGCCATAAGATTTTCCAGAATAGATATAAGCTCTAGCAAGATTGTCCACACCAGCACTGGCATGGGAATTGCTCCGCTAGAGTCCACTTTACTTGTACTCTTTACAGCCGCCTTCCGAAGCCTGGTAGAGGCTAAGGGTGTTCTATGCTATAAATCCTCCATGCTGTATTTGTGACATTGTGTGAAAACATGTGAAACCTAATGTTTAAGTGGATGACTCCAATGCACCAAGGTTGCTGTGTACAGCCGAAGTACTTCAGCATATAGCCACTGTGTTTCCCAGAATAGATATAAGATCTTACTAGCAAGCTTTCCCACACCAGCACTGTGTTTCCCAGAGCTCCCTAACCACATTTACTGTGGATCAATTATATAGGCCAAGAGACACCTTTCCCCACATTAACTACTGACCTTCCAGGATCTACAAGCCTCCGGCATGGGGAATACAATGTTGTGTTACTGGTTTAATGTTCAGTATCTACAATCTTCAGGCCTGGGAAATACAGTGTTGTGTTTCTGGTTTAATGTTCAGTACCTATGATCCTTAGGCATAAGAAAAACAATATTGTGTTTCTGGTTGATGTTTAGTATCTACAATCCTCAGGTCTGGGAAATACAATGTTGTGTTTCTGGTTTAACGTTCAGTATGCACAATACTTAGGCCCAAGAAAAACAATGTTGTGTTTCTGGTTCAATGTCCAGTATCTAAGATCATTAGGCCTAAGAAAAACAATGTTATGTTTCTGGTTTCTTGTTCAGTATCTACAGTCAATAGGCCTCAGAAAAAAATGTTGTGTTTCTGGTTTAATGTTCAGTATCTACAATCCTCAGGCCTAGGAAATACAGTGTTGCATTTCTGGTTTAATGTTCAGGATCTACAAAACTTAGGCCTTGGAAAAACAATGTTGTGTTTCTGGTTTAATGTTCAGTACCTATGATCCTTAGGCATAAGAAAAACAATATTGTGTTTCTGGTTGATGTTTAGTATCTACAATACTTAGGCCTAAGAGAAGCAATATTGTGTGTCTGGTTTAATGTCCAGTATCTTAGGCCTAGGAAAAACAATGTTGTGTTTCTGGTTTAATGTTCAGTATGTACAATCATTAGGCCTAGGAAAAACAATGATCTGTTTCCTGTTATAGTCCTGAAAAAATTCGGGAAAATTAGAAGGTGGGGATGGTCTTATTTTTTAGATTTAGTTAAACAGATCCAACAAGTAAATACAAAACTGAAATTCTTTAGAATCAGGGCTGTCTCTAGGACCCGTCCTGAAATTTCTCCTGTAGTGAAGAAACAGATATTTTACTGAACATACTCAAAAAACATTTGATTCTAAAAATTTGTGAAATAATGTTACAGTATAAGAGGGTTTTTAATTCAGATAAAAAATTCTATGGCCTTGCTAGGGGTCACCCCAAAAAAGGCTAGGGTTGGCAGGTTTTTGCTAGGAACCTGAAACTGGAAGAAGAAGGTCTCCCATGCTCTTATGCAGAGTGTAGGGTGGTGCCCTTTGACCACACAGTTGTGCAAGGCACTACAACAGGACACTAGTCCGCTGGTAGTGCTATGTGTTTGACCTTCCCACACTCTTTCTCATATGTGCTGAGTGCTGAGCAGGCAAAGAAGTGTGTACCATTTTTAAAGTCTTTAGTATGAGCCGGCTGGGGTTTGAACTCACGACCTCCCGGTTACAAAGTGAGCACTCTACCAATTGCACCATGATATTGAAACTGGAAACAAATGATTTTTTTTCCTTGGCCCAAGAGTGATAGCAAACATTGGCAGAGCGTCAGAACCAGACGGATGTGCTTCAGTCATGCCTCCTGCACACACCAGCAGCTAACTCTGCAATTAATGAATCAATACCTGATAACGAAGGGATTTTTTCTCCCTCTGGTTTCCTTCTCTTGTCAATACCGCACTATTGATTCCCCGAATGGTTCTTAGATTGTTCCACTAACAAAACGGAGTGGGAGTACGTGAACAAAGGGCGGCGATGACGTATTGGCATGTGGACCTTGACCTGTTCTAAAGCAATTGCTGATAACTTGTTATAAATTTACAAGTTTTAGGATAAATTTAGGGTATCTTTTGTCAATTTCCCTACTAACTTTGCTATTTGCCTTCTGCTTTCATTGCTTCAAATATGCTAAATCAATGATGAATACATCTCAAGTAAAAAAAAAATTTCACCTAAAATTTCACAATTTTTTGTACAAAGGCAGTTGGGAGTCAAATTTCTAACAATTTCTATAACTTAACCATTTCATTGTTGCTGATGAAAATGCCTTATTCAAGCTAACTTTTTACATTCCTGTACATGTGCAACAGGCTTCCATATGTGAAGTACAATAACTATCACTCATTCAGATTCCCATTCAAAAGTACAAGCATTTTCTAGTTCACGATCTATGTTACCTCTAATGGCAAAACTCCATTCATTCCACCGCGCCCTTGTTGAAAATGCATTATGGACGACATTCAGAGCCTGGGTGCCACATTCAACTTGGTAAATACCATCGTGATAGCAGGCACCATTAACATCGGGGGTGAAAGATCCTCCAAAAGCATCGACTTGTCACCTGATTGATTAGATAATGTTAACGAGTTTTCACACGTTCTTTGTCATGTCTATAACTCACTGTGACTTCTGAACACCCGACTGCCCCCAAGTGGGCGTACTATTCATTAACCTGAGAGTCCCTTTGTTCAAAGGGTTACTGTGTCTTCTCAAAGCTACATCTTTTATCACCACACTTTTGCATGAAGGCCTCCTTAGTCTTTCTGTCGTGTGTAAAGGTTTTTCTGTGTCAGGTACTGTGCCAGTTGGAAGGCAGAAGACAACTTGGAGAAGGTACAGTTTGGTACGGAAAAAGGAAAACGGAGAGCAATCTCAATCTCATTGAAGAGTTATTCTACTACTGGTTGTGATAGAAAAGACAGACACTATACCCAGTATTTACAGGTTCATTGTAGCAGGGAAATTCTGGATCTACTAGCTCTTTTTTTGACAAGCACAATGACCAGTGGACCACAGCTTAACGTCCTGTCCTAGGGACTGCAACCCTTTACAGTAGTGTGCATGTCAGGTCACAACAGCCAGGATTTGAACTCCCAACCTCTTGGTCCAGACGCAGGGTCACTAACCACTGGACAACACATGCAACATTATGGAACCGTCTTTGATATGCTTTGGTATTTTGGCACTTTTCCCGAGTTAGCTATTACAAAGAAGGGTCTAAAAATGTACAAAAGTCTTCCTGCCCTCCACTGCTTGCACTGCAGGATTCAAACTCCTAACCTCTTAGTCCAGAAACAGGGTGCTAACTACTGGACTACGTACGCTACATAGGTTAGGCTATTACACCAAGGTCTAAAAAAGTAGAAAAGTCTTCCTCACCTTGACGGCCTGCGCTGACTGGCTCCCCGGGCTGATTAACAGCGCCGCCACGGCGTTCAGCAGTTTCCCCGTGTCGCCCCTGGCAACCACCAGGCTGAGCAGACAGGAGCAGGCCAGGGCGGCGAGGGACGTGCAGTCCGAGGTCGGGCTCGTCTCAGCACCTGAGTTGTTCACCAGGTCGATCAACAACTGGAACAGGGAATCTGGGAAGGCAACAGAAATAAACATTTAGATGCTTCTTATTCAAGAACTATGATGTATATAAAAATACTATGCAAAATGTTTATGCATGTTCCAAAAAGAGAGAGGAGATCTTGTAGATATAGATGTTACACAGTAATATAGCATTTGTTACTCCTACCCTTATACCTCAGATTTACCCTGGTCTCTAAAAACAATTGTTTAAACAGTGAATTTGAAGCTATGTGAAGACCTCCTTTTTCCCCCTACTGGGAAAATAACCACTGCAAAACTAACACATCTACAGTATCAGACACTTCAGGATTCATGTATTCATATCTTAAATGCAGTCGAATTTCAACATGCTTACAGCACTGGTGGTAAGAAATTTAAAAAAAAAAAATTTTCTGTCCTCTCCATCAGTTGCACTGTACAGGCATAACAATCTGTGAATTTACAACAATCTACCTGATAGCATGATAGCACAGGTGTCCTAGTCACTGTGTTTGATAGTGTTGACGATAAAGCATATCAGTATTTTAAGCTGACAGCCTGAGCTCCAGGCAAGGACAAAGCTATTACAGATTTACAACAACAGCCAGAGTTTCAGCACTAAGGGGAAAGCACATCTGTACTGACTGGCACTGAAAGCTGATATAAATCGTGTTTATGTTCACATAACTCATCCCAGAGAAAACCTTGCAGGCACACCCGACTCTAGTCAACATCTAGCTTTACAACTGAATGTATATTCACGTGAAGAGAAAGATAGGGCCTAGGGAAAAAAATTCTGTTTCCTGTTTCAGTCCTAAAAACCTTAGGGTTGGTAGGTAGGGATTCCTTTTTTTTTTTCAAACTTCAATGATATCTAATATATAGGGGTCAATTTACAAAATACAGTTTAACAAAGTAAAATTTGCATGAGGACCCTTCTATTTTCAATTTCAATGTTGGAAAACTGATTATAACTCAGGTGTCAGATCATGAAGCTAGAAAAGGTCAATCAGCTCAAAAATTTATGTTACTTGCAGGGGTCCACACTACATAAGACAAGAGTCGGCAGGTTTTATTATGGTAGGTTGGGAAACAGAAAACTCAACATTTTTTCCCTAGGCCTAGCCAAGCTAACAATCAGCCCTAATTGTAGCAGGTTTGAGTGTGAAAGTTGCTTTGAGTGGCTGAATTATTCATCGTTGAGAGGTTGTCATCTCTCTTGTACTGACAGCTGGTGAGAAGAGAAACGCTTTTGCCACTAATGGAGAACATGCCTAAGCTACAATCAAAGACAGCTTGCTGGCACAAGGCCACGAAATTAAAATGTACTTCTGTAAATGAAGCCGTGACAATTATAACCCCATCTTTGCCTACAGTAAGAACCTTGTGGCCCTAGGGTTGTAAGGCAACACCAATTTAATCTCTTGGTTCTTGATTTCACCCACTTCATTATATACGATTGCAGCTGACTGTACACTTATTGCTATTTTTACATTTAAAAAAGACAATTAGGAAAGACAGTCACGCACCGTATATCAAGATCACTACACAATATGGTAGTCTTGAGTTCATAAAATGGGAAGTTCAACATTTGAACTGGCCAGAGCTATGCCGGTGTGTAAGCCTGTGATTTGCCACACAGAGGTAGCCAAGCGAGTGATGCAGACTTTATTTGGAAAAATTCAGGCAGCAGTCTTTCTGCCTTACATACAGGGGTTTAGGCCACAAGTCTAGAGGCCAGAACCTTTTGAAGTCAGCTAACCAGGCAGAGCCCAGCAGAGAGCTAGCTACACCTCTGACCCTGTCCTTTCAGCTTCTGTATCTGTATAGCTGGTATAACTATCCTTCGGTATAACACACAAGCTTCTGTATCTGTATCTGTATAGCCTGTATAACCGCCCTTTGGCATAATTGCAGGCACACAGCATGGCAGCAGCTGGCTACATCACACCGAACGACTTGTTTTTACACTCAACCTTTGAACATCTAGCTCTTAATATAGTTGAAAGCTATCTAGTCATAATGGCCCTACTGTACTGGGTGACAGTGAGTTCCACTCTGCGATAGATCTAGTTAAGAATGAGTCTTTGAACACTTCAATCCTTGGTTGATAACCCTACTACTTGCAGGGCATGACTATTTCTTGTTCTTTTCTGAGCTGGTTTTAGGCTCTGACCGCCCGCGCTGAGATAATCACGGAAGTGGCATTGATCCCGAAGCCGTCCACACAATGAATCACATTTGACAATTTCAATAACCGGCAGCTCCGGGGCCTGCCTGGTAATAAGCGTCAGTAGAGCAGTGCTCAATACCTCTACAGCTGCACACACAGTCTGCTCTATTCCATTATCCAAAGATGTCAGAAATGATGTACGACGGATTATTCCCTACCCCCAGGCTGTCAGGTTACCTCGTGTCCCCCTATTTTGCGTGTACCTTGCAAGCTGCGATGACAGATGCGAGATATAAGACCACGATCTGGCCTGTAAATTTGCCAGCGAGCAAAGACGTAATGTTATCATAAATTGAACGCTTCTCCTCACCCCATTCAAGACAAACGATGATTGAGGGGCAGAATGGTAGTAAGAGCTAAATCATAACACTACAAACAGCAGTGACTGTCATTGACTGATCTAGAATAAAGGTAAGCTGGATAATATTGTGCCTACATATCACAAGTTTGAGCCACCAAAAACAATACTACCATACCAGGAAGAAAAATTACTTAAGTGCAAGTTTTCACAGTACTCAAAAACAAAGTACTTTAGACCTCACAGCAGGATTTCATTTGACGAAAAGCTGAACTGTTCTTGATAAGACTAAGCTGTATTTGTGTGCGCTCCATCAACCAGCACAACCTTTCACATACGAGCCATCCAAAACAATACTACCATACCAGGAAGAAAAATGACTAAGTGGAAGTTTTCACAGTACTCAAAAACAAAGTACTTTAAACCTCACAGCAGGATTTCATTTGACCAAAAGCTGAACCGTTCTTGATAAGACTAAGCTGTATTTGTGTGCACTCCATCAACTAGCACAACCTTTCACATACACCCAAAACAATACTACCATACCAGGAAGAAAAATGACTTAGTGCAAGTTTTCACAGTATTCAAAAACAAAGTACTTTACACCTCACAGTAGGTTTTCATTTGACCAAAAGCTGAACCGTTCTTGATAACACTATGCTGTATTTGTGTGCGCTCCATCAACTGGCACAACCTTTCACATACGAGCCATCCAAAACAATACTACCATACCAGGAAGAAAAATGACTTAGTGCAATTGCAAGTTTTCACAGTATTCAAAAACAAAGTACTTTACACCTCACAGTAGGTTTTCATTTGACCAAAAGCTGAACCGTTCTTGATAACACTAAGCTGTATTTGTGTGCGCTCCATCAACTGGCACAACCTTTCACATATGAGCCATCCAAAACAATACTACCATACCAGGAAGAAAAATGAGTCAGTGTAAGTTTTCACAGTACTCAAAAACAAAGTACTTCAGACCTCACAGCAGGATTTTCCTTTGACCAAAAGCTGAACTGTTCTTGATAACACTAAGCTGTATTTGTGTGCACTCCATCAAACGACACAGATTAGCCTCCGTAATCCGTGAACAACTGGGTTGAGAGTTGTTGGGTAGAGATAAGGCCTTGTGCTGATCCATCTCCGGATTACAGCACAGTTATGTCCCCTCCCACTGGTTACAGATAGCAAGAATCACTCATGCGTTTCAGCAGGGGGGATTGGCAACCATTCTCACAATTACTTTCACCATATTTCACACCGGATTACGTTTGAATAATTGTGATCTTTGTCTTCATATACGACAGATTTAAAACCAAACCAAGACAGAGTGGGTGATTAGGAAGTAAGATGATGGGTGTCTATTCATGCTAATTATTATTTTTATCTCTTAACGAGCTGGCCTTCTTAATCCTAGATCTTAATGCCTTTAAATATTTGTGAACGCTTCCGGTGTACTGATAAATTGTAACGGCTGAAACTTTTTGGATCTTTCTCTTCTGTGTATCTGACAGCTACTATCATAAATTGTATAGCTTTCTCTGTGGTTTTACTCCTTATATAGGAGGGAAAGAGGGGTTTTCACGGTGTTGAAACAATTCTGCAATACAGCAGTCATACAAGGAAGACGTATTGCAATGTCATGAATACGCAGTGAAGAAGTCATCGCAAAAACGAAACAATCACAAAGTGATTTACAGTACTTTGTATGTGAGGAAAGACTTCTAAACCTGTATCATTTGTTACTAAATACCAGGAGTGTTATAAAATCAAAAATCTATGCTATTGAGTGAAAAACTGCCTGAAAAACAGGTCAAGTTTCAACCTAACTGTATCATCATGGAAAAATAAATAAAGTACTGTATCATTTGTTACCTTACACCTGTTACAAATCTAATTAAGGACTTAAAACTTTGCAATGCAGTATCATAAACAGGTGTTAATGCTTTCATTTGTGCATGTTGTCATGATTTGTTACAGTTCTTTGTTTGTGAGGAAAGACTTCTAACCTGTATCATATTGTTACCTTACACATGTTACAAATCTAATTAAGAACTTAAACTTTGCAGCAGTATCATAAACAGGTGTTAATGCTTTCATTTGCGCATGTCGGAGGGATTAAGCAGTCAAGCTGATTAGATTAAACGGGATCACAAAGACGAATGCGTCCCGTCGCTGACCCCTTTGTTATGTCTAAGTGTTTAACACTGTTCCCACACTACACCATTCATCATGTCAATCCCACCCTCACATGTGATGCAATGACCTTAAAACCTGCCACGGTTTTAATATTGGGCCTCCTCAATTTAATTTGTTGTTTCTTGGATTCGCCCTGTCCATTTTTTTCTGATTTGCAAAAAAAAGTCAACTAGCTAAGGGTTCTAAATCAACAGCTAGGGGTTCTAAATCAACAGCAAAATACTCAATATTAATGAAAGACACATTTTGGCCCCAATGGTTGAAGAAAGTCCCTGTCTTCCTAATTGTGAAAGTTT